CAGGCCTGAAGTCCAAGACTGTCATCTGTATTGTGTACGTGTGGATATGTCTCCTTGGGTGTGATCCTTGCCATCTGAAGACCAGGAGGAGACAATTCACCTAACACACACACTTGCACACACAGGGCAAAACCCTTCAGCCCAAAAGGAGGAGAAAGAGGGAGCCTGTAACAGTTAGTGGTCCATAGCAGCTCCAAACCCAGCCAGGCACCTGTTGCTAATCACCCTGCCCAGGGCACGGTGGGAGGGGGTGTTCTCTCCCCAGGGACACCCTCCTGGGCCCGGAGCTCTGCTGTCTCAGCCAACCTTCCTTTTCCTTAAGAAATGGCCTGGTTTTGCGGCTGTGTGGCTCTCTTCCTGCTTCCTGCTGGTCGTAGTTGGAGGGTCAGGGGCCTCTTTTCATTTTAGACTTGTGCTGTGCCTTTTAGTCCAGCACGGTACAATTCCTTTAAAACCCTTGTGAGTATCCTTTGTATCAGATTGTAATTTATTCCATTAGACAAAAGCCACCCCACAGGTTCTTGTCTATGGTCCACACGTGCTCTCTAATTGGAAGGGTCTGTGAGGCCCTGCCTTAAATCTTTGTGTTCTCAAGATGAGGGTCCAACTGCCACAACCTTGCTGGGTCTTCATTCTGAGATCACATCCCCTGGCCTCCCTGGATTAGATCTTTGTTCTGAGGCCAGTTCTTACCTTGAGTTTTCTGCTGTCAGGAGAAGCTAGGAATGAGAAACGGTTTTTCTCATGTTGGTGTTTAAATTGGCAATATTTTCTCTAATCCTGCTGAAGACTGAACACCCTTGACTCTCCCTTCCCCCTCAGCTCATCGGAACCAGTAGCATGGTGAGCCTTCTGCTCTAAAATCTCCTCACCAGGTCCCGGGCTTCCCAGGCCAGCTGGCTATGCCTCACGTTCCTGCAGACAGCAGGTCGGTGGATGGCTGTGCTGCTGCCCAGCTGGGCCACCCTTTGTCCATACTCAGGTAGCGTCTTCTACCCTGTCCTTCTTGCCTGCATCCACAGCTGTTCCATTCCTGCAGCCCCAGCCAGCTGCCTGGTGCCAAGCCATGGGCACATGTTTATGGATTTTACTACAGCGGCATAGCGTGATGATTCTGTTTCTTATCTATCATTGCCTACAACCTACCGCAAGACTTAGTGATTTCAGGACCACAGACAGAGCACAGCATGGCTTCTTTCTCAGACCTCCCCAAAGCACAGAACCTGCCAAGATTTCTTAACGTTTAAACCCTGTGTAGCTTGCATCCCTTCCACTCCTTCTGTTGGTTCAAGCGAGCCGCAGGTATCTCCAAGTCCACGTGGAATAATTTCCACAGGGACATGAATCCCCAGAGGCAGGGTGCATGGGGAGCCATCCCTAGAGACCAGCTGCCATGCTGGCGGTACAGCATGTAGAGAGTTATGTAAACTCTCTGCCTCAGTGGCCTCATCTGTAAAATGGGGATAATCATAGTAACTGCTTACATTGGGTTGTGAGCTTTCTCTGGGTTAATATGTGTCATGCTTTTAGAGCAGTGACAATATTGTTTTAGAGCAGTATTGTTTTGAAATAGTAAATTTTGTAAATAGATGCATAAGCCACATAAGAGTTAAAGAAAACACTAACCGCAGTGATGTCCACACTGATAGCAGGTCAGTGAGAAGCAGTCTTATGCAAGAGATTGTTTTCGAGTATACAGAAGTGGCATCTGAAAGATAGACCAAGTATGTGCTGTGACATCCTCCCGCACAGTTTTGCCCTGGGTAACACAGAATCAAAGAGACTTAGAATCATAAGGGCCATTTGCACCCGCTGATGGGAACTGCCCGCCCATGTGTGTCTCTAGCAGAGAGCCTTCCGGCCTCTCCATCCTCTGGCAAGTGGGACCATGACTTCATGTCCTTTAAAAGTTGAATATGAACTGGTTTTAGATTTTCCATTTTCTTGGTACTTAAGTAGACAATGTATAAGTTCGGGATGCCAGAAGCATTGTAGTTGAAGTACAGGGGCTTGGTCTGATGCAGGGAGGGGCTGCCAGGACCCTAGGCTTCTCACTGCACTGATAAAAGTCTGTCCCAAAGGGGCACAGTGGGTTTGCTCTCCTTCTTGGGCATGTTGTGGGACACTCTGTTCAGAGGGGGGCCCCACCGTGGCAGAGCAATTGGAACGTTATGCTTCTGGAAGAGTCTGGGACTAAGCAGGGGGTCCTTGTATGTAGCCATATGACGGGATGTCTCACTGGGGCTTTGCGGTGGCTCTGCGGTTCCTCCAAGTGAGGGCACATTGGAGGGGACCTCCTCTTTCCGTGTGACTCCAGAATTACAAACCAGGATTATCCAACCCCCTTCAGACAGCAGAGCACTGCTCCCGCAGCTCTGGCCATCTGGACCCATGGGCTCCCTGGCACACAGCTGCCCAGGCAGGACTAGGGGACCCTGGGCACAAATTGTAAAATAAATACTGGTCTCACAGATTTGGGGCTGAGTGGTTTAAACTCTGGGGTCTTTTTAGACTCTGAAACTCCCTGATTCCCACTTCATACAAATACTATGAAAAATCAGTGTTTGCAGTGAACTTCAGCAAAAAAAGAAAAACTAAAAGAGAACACGTTTTCAGCCTGCAGAAGCTATTTGCTGAGTCTTGTCATTCGTCATCTGATTGAGCCTCTGATTACAGAACTTCACCTTGCAGCTGCCTCGGCTGCTCATCAGGGCAGCACGCGTCTCCTCATGACACCTCTTAGGGTGGGCTCTTGCTATCAGTCAGAGAGTGGCGGGCGCTGCTGGCGGGCCCCAACTTGGGTGCTTCGCTGAGGCAGGGAGCAGGGCAGCCGAGCGGCTCTAACAGCACAGAAATCTTGGGGGTCGGGTAATGAACCCACCAGGGGCCTGGCCCAGAGGGTGGAGGCATGGCCCCTAGGACGCTGGGGTGTTCTTCAGCCCTGCTGACTTGTACAGCATTTGGTTGTTATCAGAGATTATCCTGCAAGGTGAACCATAGGATTTATTTAAGATTGTCAAGATTTGGACATTCAGCTTTCCCAGCACCAAGATAAGTCAGCCTGATTTAGTTCCCTGGCAATGTCATCTCTTCTTCTTGTCTCCTAGTTGGACTGTTCCCCTCTATCCCCTTAGGAGTAAGTCCTGGCAGCCCCCACTGGGGAGAGGATAATTGTGCATATAGGATTTGCTCGTGAAAGTACCCGTAATCTAGCCAGGAGCTGTGTAGATCCATCTGCACAGAGCCCCGGGGCTTGGGGGGGTGGGAGTGTGCAGCCTGCATTTTTGTCTGAGTGCAGATGGACAAAGCTTTCTGAAGCCTGGAGCAGCTTCCTGCTACCAGTGACACGGAGGTGACCCCCGGCCCTTGGTATTGTTGGAATTCCATCTGAAACGGATGGTGGAAAAATGGGAACCCACAGGAGAACGTCTGTGAAGTTTTGTTAAGCTAAGTTTAAAAATCTTAGAAATCTGCCAAAGAGGGAAATGTAATGATTTTAAGTGAATGCTTATTTACTGTCGAATCACCAGCAGTGACTGCCCCTCTCCCTAATTCTTACTCTGCAGGGGGACCTCGAAACACCTGGGTTTGTAACCAGCATTTTCCTTGGGGCCTGCCTCTCTTTGTTGGTCTCTGCACCATATTTGGTTTAGATTGGTTTTTCTTAGATTCTAAGAAATCAAGGTATGTTGAGCGGAGCGATGCTTGTGTGTTTTCTTCAAGTAATAAGAATGTGCAGAGGGATGACCTTCTAAAGGTTCACTTGTGAGTTTCTTCAAGCTTAGAAATATTTTCCCCCAGAAACAATGTTTCAGGGGTAGTCAGGCTTCCCAGCTGGCTCGTCATCCATTATACTTGTGAAAATTGGTGTAGAAAGCACTATTGTTAGAACTTGAACCTAATTATCCCATAAAAGTGCTTCCTTGATCTTACCTTGTATTATGGTTCATGGGGGACAGCAGAATTAGGAGGTCGGGCAAAGCTGGTACACATTTGCAAGGACACTCATGGGCACCTCTTCTTCTGGAAGACTCTTTCTCACACTCAGAATTTCGCTTTGGCCTCAGCCCGGGTACACCAACTAGCATTCTTCTTGTGCCTTCTCAGTCATCCTTACCATGCTGTGAGTTTCTAAGTGGGCAGTGAGAATAAGAGCAAACCAGGAGATGCTTCGCTTTCCCTTGTTCCACGAGGTCAGGGGCTGAAGATTTCAGAGGCAGAAGCTCAAGTTGAGATCATCTGACCTGAGAGGGTGTGGAGCTGCCCCAGGGAAAGAACCCCCCAAGTCAAGGCTGAGCTCAGTGCTGGCCATGGGTTTTCACCCCAGAAAAACCTAGAGACCACGTGGGAGGTTTGCTGGGAATGGGGAGTTCAAGCAGGGGTGAGCTCCCATCAGTTGTCAAGGGAGGCCTGGCTTCAAATGCTGGGTGGTTTTCAAGAGGCCCTAATATGGTTCCATTCAAGATGGATTATGTTAGCCATGGTGTGTCTATTAGATGCTGTACTAAATTTACAAATGGAATTTCATATTTAGTAAATTAAAAATCTGGAATGAAAAACTGTAATGTAAAATGCACTTATTTGTAAATACCGGAAGTTTCAGAATTCAGTTAATGTGTGATTTCAGAAAGAGAAATTTGGGTTTCCTTTTTTAAAGCATTATACCTTTGGTTCCAGGGTGCTTGCTCAGGTAAAGGAAAGGTACACCGTGCATCATGGCAGCTGGCAAATCGCATTTGTTGAACCAGCGGCACGTCAGCCCCCAGTAGCGTCACACAGTTAAGATCTACACACACACGGGGAAGTTGGTTGAACATACGTGTCATTCACAAAGTAGAGGAGAAAAGCTGAATTACCAAGCTAAAAATAAGTGTCATTTCCATTTTATGATGATAAGAGAAAAATTAATGTTTAAAATTTCTTAAATTAGTGCCTACTTTCTAAGAAAACTTACGCCAGACTTTATAATTTGTGTTTATGAATGAATATTTTCCTTCTAGGGCATGTTGCTGAAGCGGAGCGGCAAATCTCTGAACAAGGAGTGGAAAAAGAAATACGTCACCCTGTGTGACAATGGCGTGCTGACCTACCATCCAAGTTTACATGTGAGTGTGGCCCCTTGGCGCAGGTGGCAGGCCTGGAGTTAAGCTTGCACACTGTGTGTGTGGCGGGAGTGGGGGTCCTAAGCATCAGGACTGTTGTCTCTGAAGTTAAAGTAGTCTTGGGTCTCCTGCTCCATCATGAGGTAAATCACACGCTCCTCACTCTCCATCAGACCATGTGTCTCTCCCTTCCCCTCTCTGTCACCCAGCTCTGGTGCTCTAATTCTGCAAGGACTTACAATAAAGGGGACAGATAAAGTAAAGTAAAAATAAAGTAAAAATTTCAGTGAAAGTGAAAAGATAAGAGCAGGTAGCAGGAGAGAGAAAAAAGCGAGCATATACCTTAGAATCTAGAACAAAATCTGAACAATTGCATCAGAACCCAGCATTCTGCTCTGAGCAGCTGAGAAAAACAGGAAAGTTAAAAGTAGTTCATGACTCAGGTTCTATCGTCAGATAAGAACCACAAATCTGTCTGTAAGGTAAGAGCTTTTCTGCATGTGTTAATAAAATGAGATATGTTGGTGATTTATAGAAGATAGATTAAAAGGCAGAATTAATTTTATTTTGGGGGGGAAATGTGGAGGACATTCTACTCATCCTGACTTGTCTTAGGAAGCCTGATAAAATCTGAAAATGGGGTGTAATGACTGTTCTCTAACAACATATTCTGTGAGTCTTGCTAGGTATTTATAGGTCTTGATGTAGATAGATATGTAGATCAGAATATATAGTGGTAGCTGCTCAGCTGATTGTATCACTATGGTAAGCTTTTAATTTAAAGATGTCTAAATATTTTTTTTAAGATTTTATTTATTTATTTGACAGAGATCACAAGTAGGCAGAGAGAGAGGAGGAAGCAGGCTCCCTGCTGAGCAGAGAGCCTGATGCAGGGCTCGATCCCAAGATCCTGGGATCATGATCCGAGCCAAAGGCAGAGGCTTTAACCCACTGAGCCACCCAGGTGCCCCTAAAAATGTCTAAATACTTCAAAAATTACAGTTACGAACAAGAAATTACAAGAATACTAAAGAAAATTAAAATCGTTCCCACAGTACCACCTGGGGAACAGGACTGCTGACATTTCGGGGCATGTGCTCCCAGCCATTTCTGAGCATCGGTGCTTTTTCCTCCCATGAGCACGTGGTCACCCTGTACGCTCTGTCTGTGCCCACTTCCGTAGATGATGACAGATCACGTGCCCTGCCCGTGCCTGTGAATACACTTGTGTGCTGCCATTATTGATAGTGACATGACAGTCATGGTGTAGATATGCCCTAATTGGTGTAACGATGTCTCCAAAATGGACCTTTGGCAAATAAATTTACTTTGAATTATTTTTAATGTTTTAAGTAACTAATCAGTGTCCTCTGTTGACATCCCTGTGCCCTTATCCATTTCCCTGGGACCATTTCCTAGCAGTCACTTCCGGAGTTGAAGAGTGCTGATGCTCTCATGGCTTTGGGTATATGTTGCCGGATTCTTGGAAAGAGTGTATCAGTTTTTCTCCACCAGCAACATACCAGAGGGCTTATACCTATATTCCCATGAACATTCACCTTCAGAATAACATATCTGTCATTTTCCAATATAATAGGTAACAAGTGGTACCCTTACTGTTTCGTTTGCTTCTTGGGGTGAATTGCCCTTCTTCTCCGAGTCCTCCAGCAGTGGTTTTCCCCTTCAGAACCATGTTATGAAACAGGTGTTTCGTTAAGTGTCCCTGACTTATTCTGACGTTGATGGGAATGCCTCCTATGCTTTACCAGTAAGTAGACTCCTGAGATGTCAATACTTAATTGTACTGAGGAAACTCCTCTGTGCTTGATTTATTTTGGCTGATTTGGGAATAGAGTCAGGTCGCTTCTCTAAGAAGCCTGTGTGCGGCTGTTCCTGCATCACCTGCAGCCCACTCTCAGCCTCCATCAGAACACCAAAGCAGTGTGGGCTCATTGCTGTGTTCTCTTCCCAGCGCTGCCCTGTCAGCTGCCGTCTCACTGGCTCATGTCCTCTTCCTCTTAAGACCACGTCAGGGAGCACAGGTCGAATTATTGACCCAGTTGCTTTGTGTAATCAAAATACTCTTCATGCTCTAAGACTCACTGACCAGGAAAAAGTGGGGTCTGACTGATGAGCATTTCGGGCCACCTTACACTCATCTGTTAAGCCCAGGCTTGATCGGAGGGACATCTGCTGCTTCTTGCCGAGGGGAAAAAGCATGAACATCAGTATGTCCCATAAAGTTCCTGTAGAAAAGATAATGCCTACTGACTTCCTGTCCCAGCCCCTCAATTAATAGAATCACAATCAGTTCTTCCAAAATTCTTCCACATGAGTTTCCTCTTGTGATGCCCCTCAGTGCTTCCCAGTTCGTTTACACACACACGTGTGTTTGCACACACATGCATGGACATCGTCAGAGCACAGAAAAAGGAGCACAGTGGGGCTTTGCTATATAATTATATGGCAGGCAAGAGCCAATATCATTGTAAAGTGCAGTTCAGTGAATGCCAGTCTCCTGGGAACTGAAATTACTGAAGCAGGTACGTGCGCATCCCCCCGACCCCCGCAAAGGAGTGGTGTAGTCTAGAGATAGATTTTAATTACCAGAACACAGAGAGGTGGCGTGGCCTTCACTATAATCCTCCTTTGACTTTATTTCCACAACCACGCTTTGGATGGAAATTCAGAGAAGTGAGGTCCAGGTACATGTTCTCTTCCAAGATAGAGAGCTACAGATCCCCAACCACAGAGTTAGCCTGGCATTCTTTGGCTCAAAATGGAAAGACTCGTCAAAGGGATGCCCATGGGCAGAATCCAGATTTGTTTTAGTGATAAATCCAGAAGCATGCAAATGTGTTGTAAATTTATGTCTTAAAATTCTATACCATGAAGACTGTCCTAATTATTTTAGTCCAGGAAATTTCAAATGGTGATAGAACCCAATGATATCAGTTAAACTGATTGCACTGTGACACCCACTTCCTGGTGGTCTCTGGGCTGTGTTATGGCTGGAAATCCATGAGGGCGCATTTGTTGTGAGTGCTTAAGTACTGGGGAAATCCGCCCAGGTTAGTGGCTTTGGGTTTCATTACTGTTGGTCATCACTGTTAATGGCCGTCTGCGGTGATCCGAAATAGCATAGCCTACAGCCCGTGTCTCTCCAGGGAGTGAAGGGAAATAAACCTGGCTAAATAATCTGGTATTTGTAGATAGTTTTCCACGAAGACTGACTATATCTCAGTAGTGGAGTAACGGGGCCAGCTGCTGGTGCCTACCACTAATTTTCAATGATTAGATAGTGTATTTACCAAAAAGAAACGTGGTGTGCTTTTCTGAGGATGGGAGTCTAGTAATGTAATGATTCTGTAACGGGGTGAGCACTGCAGGATTGAGCACACAGTGCTTGAGAAGGCACGAAACACGTCGGATTGGAACAGATACTGGGCAGAGCCACACAGCAGCCCCTTCCAAACCAGTGTTGCCACGTAGCTCTCATCATGAGCACAAACGTGAATTTCTTGTGCACGTGTGTGCTGCTCATGGTCCCCCTCAGGCTGGACCCTGATTCCACCACGAGCCACCTTCAGCTTGGTGATCATGCTGAACCCAGGGAGCTCAGCCCGGTTCTTGCACATAGGGCAGAGTAAGGGATCGAATCAAGTTTAGAGGGAAAATAGGCTGGCATTACAAGGACCCTTAATCATTTCATTCAAAGTTGAGATTGCCTGGGAGTATCGGCCACTAGCAGAATGCCACCTGAAATTGGAGGGCCCTGTCCAGGAGGCTGATCCAGATGCCTCCGGTGTTCATTAGCCAAATGGGATTCCCGGCTGAGCTCCCCAGCAAGCGCTCCCGGACAGACAGGCCAGGGCAAGAGGGTGTCAGAACAGGTATAGAGCGTGCTGCCCCCATAAGGCTCTCCCTTCCCCACTCTTGCTGAATCGATGCCTTGGCTCCTGCAGCCCCCAGGCAGTGCAGATCTCCTGAGACCTTTGCTTGGAAAAGATGCTGGAGCAGCAGCAGATTCCAGCTTTAGCTTACCTTGGGTGCTGTGGAAGCAGAAGACTGACCATTTCCTAAATTTGCCACCAAAAAAACAAAATCTTGGAAGTTTTCAAATGTCTTCCTTGGATGCGCTCAAAGTAAAGAAGGTTTCCCGGAGAGATGAATTGTGATCCTTTAAGAGACCAGTACGTTTTTCTTATTACACAGGTGTCCATGGCTGTGTTTGTGTAAATGATCGTTCTTCAGACACCCCAAATTTCAATCCCAAGCATAAGTTTTGTGTACATTGCTGTGATTGAAAACAGCCTCTTGACAACCCAGACCATGGTTCGTGGCCCCAGCGGCGGGCCGGGCTCCGGGCTCCCAGTGGAGTGCCACGCACTTTGAAATGGCGGCTTCAGAATCAGGCTGCTGGGCATGAGCTGGGGGACCCGGCTTTGCGGCACACAGTAGGGTTGGCGTGAGGCCGGCAAGCTCACCACATGCTTGGAATGGGTTGGCTGCCAGGGACACTCCCAAAGCTGGCCTCTGAGGACGGCCCGCCTCTCAGAACTTGGAGGACCTCCGCTGGATGATGGCCTCAGGGTGTCAGTTCCCACTGGTTCTATTGCTCCCGATCCCTCTTCCTTCCCTCCCATCCTTTCCCAGCCCCATCTTCTTCTGAGGCTTCATTCTTCCCAGGTTGGTGGCTTCATCCCCAGCAGCATCCATAGTTCATCCTGAGCCCCAAGCACAGGCGCAGATGAGTTAGGGACCAGCCATCCTCAGGGGCTGTGACATGCAGCTTGGCCTTGCTCTGTCATCAATAGATGCAGGCTCTCCCTGCACTAGAGAGAGAGCCTGTCACCCTGGCCATGTCTCCTACTATTGGAACCCTTACACGTTTTTCTCATGGAGGAGAGAGTCGCTCTCTGTAAGCAGGGGTGGAACTGCCTATGTGTGGCAGATCATAGGAAGAGACAGTCTCTCTGGAAACCAGGAAGAAAGAGGGAAGA